GTAGAAGTTGCTTCATTCATACATTTATTATGCATAGTAACCACAAAGACAAATAGCATGGAAATATGTGCAATTTTGCCTGCCACTCCTTTCTGTGAGCACCTGCCCCAAATGAATGGGAGATGGGAATATATTCTTTCCAGGTTTCATGGTACTAATTGCAATTATCCTATTTTTTATATACGAGGAACCTCATGCACAAACCAACCACTTTTATGTGGTGTCTTCATCTTAGTAAATGACAAATTGACAGGTTCGGTTGTTCTGGCCCTAAATCTGAGGTCATCCTTACTCCTCCTATCTTTTGTCTGTACTACATATTGAATCTACTCACAAATCCCATCACTTCTACCTTTAAAACACATGCAGAATCTGACCACTTCTCACCAGTCATACTCCCCAACCTGGTCCAAAGACATCAGCTGTGTTTTTCTAAGTACCTCCTTCATGCCTGCATGACCCTTCTGCAGAGCTTCTACCTCCCTGCTTTTCCTGCCTAGAATGTTCTCTCCCCATCACAGCTCTCTCCCTGCATCATGGGTTCTTGCCTCTGATGTCACCCATCAGAGAAATCTTCCCTGACCATCCCATGTACCTGTGTAAAATAACAACCTCCTCATCCCTTAGCATTCCTTTCCTCTGATTTATTTTTCTCTATAGCACTACCTACTCGGATTTATTCATTCCTTCTCTCTCACCCTATTATCGATTTTTTTTTCACTGCTATATCCTCAGCACCTAAAACAGCATCTGATATAGTCTAGGATTTCAATATATATTTGTGGAATAATAAATGATTTATATTTAATGAAATTTAAAGTTCTCTGTACAACTATTTTGCTTTGAGAGATTAGAAGAAAAAAAAGACAGCAAATTCTCGGCACTGCTAAATAATTTTTCATAGATTTTCATGATTATTATCCCTTAGAAAAAGAGACAAATGCCCACCACATTGAAATAAAACATCAATTTTTTTGTTGTTGTTTAGACTCAATTATGAATCTAAGATAAGTGCTCTAATACTAAGATTACTTCTTTCTTTTCTTTTTCTTTTTCTTTTTTTTTTTTTTTTTTTAAAAAGAAAGGGTCTTTCTCTGTCACCAAGGCTGGAGTGCAGTGGCATGATCTTGGCTCACTGCAACCTCTGCCTCCCAGGATCAAGCAATCCTCCCACCTCAGCCTCCCAAGTAGCTGGGACTACAGATCCACATCACCACACCTAGCTAATATTTTGTATTTTTTGTAGTGACAGAGTTTCACCATGTTGTCCACCCTAGTCTTGTACTCCTGAGCTCAAGCGAACTACCTGCCTCCCAAAGTGTACCTGGCCTAAGCTTACTTTTTAAACACCATTCAGATGGGTATCATTTGGGATCTTCCTCATTGTTATTTACTCAGTATCTGCTACAGGAAAAAAAGATTGACATAACTGGAACAGAAAAAGCTTAGATTTTCTAAATTTGTATTTTCCATCAGTTGGGCCACTAGTCATTAGTTCTATATATTCCCTAAATTGGTTGAGGAAGATAAGGCACTGAGAGATATGCTCCAGCTCCTACGGAAAAATTCTGATAAGAGTTGGACCAATTAGAAGTAAGCCATGCTTTCATGGAGAGGGAGATGAAGAGGGATGCCTACAAAAGTTTTAAGATCCGAACCCAGAAAGAACCTTGTAGAAATGGCATAAATTCTGTTCTGTTTTTATGATATTCTAAGATCTGACTCTACATCTCACTCCCATTGAGTAGGCACAACTGTTCAGTAAGCCATTGATAGGATTTCATTCCCAGCTGAATTCATTGCTGGGAGAAGGGAGCTAGGACCATGAGAAAATCTTGCCCAGTGATATAAAGTGGAAGAATAAGTCTAAGAACCTAGATGTGAGTTTCCTTTACTGATAAAAATCCAATAAGTAAACCTCTCTCTTTATGAGTAGCCTAGGGAGAATAGAAATAAAAACTCTGAATTTTTCAGAATGGTTCAAATCTATTCTATAAGTCATCTGAAAAAAATTTTTAATGTTAATAATAAAATAGATATTACCATTTGAGAATTTGTTGTGCTTATTAAAATATAATTATCAACCTAGTGCCAAACATTTACAAAAAGTAGGCAGTCACAAGATTCACAGAAGTGTAAATTAGCACAAGGTTTATAGAGGGCAAATAAGTAATAGGCATTCCAACCATCTCCATGTGTCCATGCCCTTTTAATCCATCCATTTAACTTCTAGGATTTTTATTTTGCCCTTCTGTCCAAAATTTACAGATGTGCAAAAATAATTTATGTGTAAGGTATTTTTCAAGGTTGTTTAAAACAGCAAAAATTTGGAAGCAATCTAAATGTCCAACAAAGATGAATTATTTTAAAAATTACAGGATATCCATGAACTAAAGTATATTACTGAAGTATATTATTCTTTTAAAAAATACTGTGTAGAGCAAACCCAAAGCTGGTCAAACAAAGAATAAATTATCCATGGCTGGCTTGGGAGCTGCTGGCTTAAAATCTCTTAAACTCAACATAAACATAGAGCTGCCAGTTTCAAATCTCTTAAATTCAACATAAACAGAGTTCTTCCTGCTTGTGTTTGTTTTGTTCTTTCAGCCTGGAACATTTTTCTTTGCCTCACTTATCCTCGACCACCAAAACTGTCCTCTTTCTTCAAATGTAGTCTCTTTCTTTGATTTTAAATATTTTAATACCTTTAATTCACTTCCAACTTCAAAGTATTTTTGTAATTTTGATGTATAAATTGAGATTTCTAATATTTCTTCCAAATCAGAAGATCCAAGAGCACAAGGCCAGTGTTCCCACATGGAATGAATGAGTTGGAGCCAAGTGATGGTCAGAATGTTCAACAACCATTAGGACACTAGCACCAAGCAGGCAGAAGAGCCTCCAGCCACAGCACTGGAGCATCGCTCTGGTTTTTACCTTCTAACTGCTGCATCACTGGGACATCCTAGGAGTTCCTGGGAGACAATACAGGGCATGTGGGGGCTCTTGGGGAATAGACCACTCAAGAACTCCAGGTAAAAACAATTTACCCGCAGTTGTCTATCCTGTGTTAAGAATGTTTTCATGCCCATCGACGATAGACTGGATAGGGAAAATGTGGCACATATACACCATGGAATATTATGCAGCCATCAAAAACGATGAGTTTGGGTCCTTTGTAGGGACATGGATGAACCTGGAAACCATCATTCTCAGCAAACTGACAGAAGAGCAGAAGATCAAACACCGCATGTTCTCACTCATAGGTGGGTGTTGAACAACGAGAACACGTGGACACAGGGAGGGGAGCACCACACACTGGGGTCAGTTGGGGGGAAATAGGGGAGGGACAGTGCGGGGTGGGGAGCTGGGGAGAGATAGCAAGGGGAGAAATGCCAGATGTAGGTGATGGGGAGGAAGGCAGCAAATCACACTGCCACGTGTGTTCCTATGCAACAATTTTGCATGTTCCTCACATGTACCCCAAAACCTAAAATGCAATAAAATAAATGGGGAAAAAAAAAGAATGTTTTCAAATGAAAAGAACAAGTCTAAGCAGAGGCTTGCTCAAGACCCCAGAGGTGACTGAGTCCATTGATCTTTCAGCTCTTTCATTCAATCCAGAAGAAAGAAGGCTAGACTATCACTTTGAATGCTAGTGGAATATTAATGCACAAACTGGAGACAGGAAGCAAGTTGTAATCCGTGTGTCCAATAAATGAGGGGGCTGGGGAAACAAATGGAGATCACGGGATTGACAAAAGAGGAATGCATGTCTGCATTTCCACCCATCAAGAGCTTCTAGAGATGAAAGAAGGCAACTACTACATGTTTTTTTTTAATGGATGCAATTTGTATTTAGAAGCAAACATCCTTTTGCAGATTAGCACTCAAGGAAATTCTGCTTTCTTTTTCTGGTCTACTGACCTTAACAGGGTTTCATTTATTTTGTGCTCTCTTGCTTTCATGTTTAAACACCATTTTCTTTCACCACAATAAAGTATAACAATGATAAAAACTAAGTTTCAAAAATGTTTCTAGGCATACCATTGAAACTGTTATATTTCTCCTCTAAAACAACACATTCGACTACCCTTTTATTAACTCTAATAACATTCAGTTATTATGCAAAGTTTCCAAACTCCATTCCAAAGGCAGCCATCTGAGAAAGGAAGTCATGTTCAGAAACTTTTCCAGAACCAGTCTTCAAACTAGATAACTTCAGTCTATAATTTAGTGTACTTCTGGCCCTCTGACTACACTGATGGGTTGAGAAATGCATGCAAGACCTTTTGTGGTTGCCTGGATAGAGTTGGGAAACTTTTGCTAGAACTAGGAATAGAAGAGAAGGTGGGAATAGAAGCTTTCTCCAATGGAATTTCAGAGATTTCTATCCTTATAATGCACAAAAATGCCTGATAGTCTCCCCAGGACCTTAAATCATCAATCTTCAACTTTTGAGCCAAGAAAGCCAGGCAGGATCTGGAAATGACTTGATCTTCTTGATGCAACCATGCCTGAAGCTATTGTATGTACTCCCACTAACATTTTTTGTTTGTTTGTTTGTTTTTGGACAAGAGTCAGAGTTTTTGGCACTTGATAAATACATTTGACATTAAATCTTATGAATATGTGTGATGGTGTTTTTACCAACTACAGTTTATGAATAGTGAAACATGGACGATTTCCTTCAGCATACAACTTCAAACTATGAAAATAATAAATTAAAATCTCCCAAAAAGGAGAGGAGGTGAGTGATTAAATTAGCCACATAGGAAGGGCATCTGTCCATAAACACTCTCAAAATAACTGATCCTATTTGAAGACTGTATTAGTTCATTTTCATGCTGCTGATAGAGATATACCTAAGAGTGGGCAATTTACAAAAGAAAGATATTTATTAGATTTACAGTTCCACATGGTTGGGGAGGCCTCACAATCATGGTGGAATGTGAAAGGCAAAGAGGAGCAAGTCACATCTTACATAGACGTAAGCACAGGAAAGACCTGCCCTCATGATTTACCTCTCACCAGTTTCCTCCCATGATACATGGGAATTTTGGGAGTTACAATTCAAAATGAGATTTGGGTGGGGACACAGCCAAACCATATCAAAGACCTTCAACTTGTGGATGCAAAACAAGGGTACCTCACTCACTTAACACTTGCAATAGTTACCCTTCTCTATTTGCCATTTTTCTATTTGCGATTTTTCTTTTCTTTTCTCTCTCTCTCTCTCTTTTTTTTTTTTTTTTTTTAAGACAGGGTCTCATTCTGTCACCAAGGCTGGAGTGCCATGGCATCATCTCAGCTCAATGCAACTTCTGCCTCCCAGGCTCAAGAAATCCTCCCACTTCAGCATTCCAAAAAGCTGGGACTACAGGTGCTCACCCGGGTAATTAAAGAAATTTTTTTTTGTAGATACAGGGTTTTGACATGTTGCTCAGGCTGGTCTCCAACTCCTGGGCTCAAGTGATTTTCTCACCTCAGCCTTCAAATGTTCTGTGATTACAGGCATGAGCCCCTGTTCCTGGCCTATTTTCATTTTCTATACTCATATTTAATATGAATAGCTCACATATGCAGTTGATGTATAGAGGTCACTGAAAGAGAAAGCTTCACAGACTTTCTGTTTTTTTCTTTTTACCTGTGTCATAAGGGAGAGGAATTATTCTTTGAGTGGTAACTAAGTATCCCACATTTTACATACATTATGCCACTTTATACTAAAAAGAGGACTGAAAAGGTGAATTTCTCCACTTTTTCCAGCTTGTACATATGGACATTTTGCCAAGTTTAAGTAACTTGCCCAAGGTCAAAGCTCATAAATATAAAAATGGGAATTGGAGCCCAGATTTGCTGTTTTGACAATTCATATTCATGTAATAATAAAAATAATAATTAGACATAGCAATAAAAAACACTTAAATTTACTATGTTTTAAGTACTTTATATAACTTAACAATGCTACGTGGTAGATACTCTTTTTATCTTCATTTCAAGAATGAGACAACTGAAGCACAGATTAGACTTGCTCAAGATTTCATAGTAAGCAGGTCAAATTTCAGGAATCCCATGCTTTTCAAATACTATGCTCTACAGTGTCAAGCAATTTACTTTCTTTAGGCTAGATCTATGTTTCACAGCCATGTTTTTATTACCACTTCCTAAGGAGCCACTGGAAGTAAAATCCTCCCATTGGGAATGCACCCCCTCGGGTACATGTTCTTACTGTAGGCTGTGTCTCATTCATCTTTATCATTTCTGCTAACCAGATTTAACACCTTTCCTTCATGATGTTAATCTTTGTGCTGTGGACTTGTATATGAGACTCTTGGATGCATTAATTGATTTGAATAAACAGCATTTCCCCCAAAGCAAATAAATTTTACAGCCTTTGGCTGACAGTGCTCTTTCAGTAGAACATGGGGAGAAAAAAATCATCTCCAGTCTCTCTGCCACTCATACCTTTCCTAAAGATATAAGAAGGTATCATTTTGAATTCTGAGCTACAATCTACAAGAAGATTTTTCAATGGAGTGCTAAAAATTCCTTTTTGGGGACTCTTAATTTAATGCATCTTCTGAAAAAACCTGTATTTCTATTTGTGAGGTTGGAATACTATATAAAATATAAAGATCTAACAAACTCAATGTTTGGCTTCCACAGATTGTGAAAGTATTTTTCCCTTAGAGTCTAGAAAATTGCCTTCCATTTCCCTAAATAAAAGACAAAATTTAGGGGAAGAAGAACTTTTTTTTTCTATTCAAACTTTTTTTTTTTTTGGCTGTAAAGTTCCTTAGTATCCAATGAGAAAATAGCTGTTACTGTTTTACTTCTACCTTCTTATGTGGGGTCTGCTTCTAAATTAATGACTGACACAGCTTTTTTTAAATTTTATGACTACCACTAAAAGACGAATTATGAATTAATAGGGAACTGTTAATTTCAGTTAAATCAATAACATATTTAATAAGGATTGTCCATGAAGAACCAATAAATCATTGTGTTAAACATTAGTAACTTATACTGAACTCAATGTGACCAATATATTAAATATATATTAGCAATTTATTACACATATGCAGGAACAAACTTATACTCATCTTGAATTTGAGTTATATTTGCTGACTCCAATCGACATGATAACAGGAGCTATTTTCAAGGCCTTAGAAGCAGGTTTTCATGCTGGAGACTAGGGAGTAAATTTAATGGACCCTTCCCCGAAGTCAGACTTGCCTCATCTGTGTAGCCTTCACATGAATTTTCAATTCAATTTCAACCTCAAATGGGAGTTCCCACAAATCCAAACACCTTGTTGAAGCAGCAGAAAATGAATTATGTGGATAACAATATTTTATCAAGCTCAAAACTCAGCTCTGTTATGTCCAAAGCACTAAAATTGTGTAAATAAATTGCTAAGTCACAGTGAAATTGATGACTTGTATCTCATGTTTTAAAACCAGGATGACTAGTTTAAATAAGAAAGAGAGAGAGAGAGAGACAGAGAGAAAAATAAAGGAAAATCATTCCTTTGACTTGGTACATTTGATTGTTGTTTTCAAGTTCAAATGAACGTTGGGGCAAAAAGCTATCCAATTAGACTTAAACAACTTCAATATTTTGTTCTGTGTTTGTGTGTGTATGTGTATATGTATCTGTTTGACTTTTTAAAAACTAAGTTCTCCTATTCAAAGATTTTTAAAAATGTTTGGTTGCATAATATTGTGCTATAACCAGCACGTACTTTTCAGCTGATTGTCAATAAAACTTCAAAAAACGTACATGACGAACATACTGGGTTTGACATACAGAATAACCCTTCAGGTTAAGCTTTCTTATCACCTCCCATACATTTTAGAAACCACTCCCTCTAACTAACTTTGGATTCCACCATGAGGAATTCCAAAAAGGCCTAAGCCAGAGACCCACTGGAGAAACAAAAGCTAACATGTATCTAGAGAAAACAGCAGCACCAGCTCTTTCTCAAAGTACTGTTTGAAAATGTTTCTGAAGCCTGATCTGAGAGTCAGCAAGCAGATGGGGAAGGCCTTCTAGAAACAATCTACTCAGTAAAACAACCATTTCTTAAGTACGTGGGAGTAGAAAATAAAGAAAATGAGCAATTCATAAATACATGTAGAAGCAGGGAGAAGCACAGTAGCTGCCTATTTATCTAGACTCCTTGCTGACACTAGCATTTGGGTCTCCATAATACATCCAGAAATGAAGTGGGTGTGAACAAATGCTCCAAGTCTCATTCTCTTGGCTATAGTGCTACCTTTTTAAGTCTTCCCTGGCTAAAGGGGGTTCACTAAATACTTTCCCTTGAGGGCTACCTAGAGAGCTAGCCTCAACAGGTAAGAGGTTTCTGAGGGAACGCCAAGATTGATAAATGAGGAAGAGTAACCTTTCCAGAAAGGGAGGGAAGAAGAGAGGGGAAAAAGGATCAAGGCAGAGAGAGAAGGGCAGGGGAAATAATTCCCATTTGCTAAAAGGCAGTAAGGACAGAAACACTGGCAAGATTTTCTGAACTGAAGGAATGTTTTTTTCTGTGTTATTGTGGCAAATTGCATTGAATTCACCATGGATATTCTTTATTTTTTTTATTGCATTTTAGGTTTGGGGGTACATGTGAAGAACATGCAACATTGTTGCATAGGTACACACATGGCAGTGTGATTTGCTGCCTTCCTCCCCTTCACCTATAACTGGCATTTCTCCCCATGCTATCTCTCCCCTCCTTCCCACCCCCGTCCCTCCCCCATTTCCCCACAATAGACCCCAGTGTGTAGTGCTCCCTTCCCTGTGTCCATGTGTTCTCATTGTTCAACACCCGCCTATGAGTGAGAACATGCGGTGTTTGATTTTCTGCTCTTGTGTCAGTTTCAGCATGGGTATTCTTGTTAGGATGTTGGTTTTCGTGTAGCCAGTTGTTTATGCTGAGCTTCACTGCCCTTAAACATTCAGGAAGTGTTCCTACAGTGGGTGGTGTCCAGGGCCTGACAATTTCCACCAATTCTTCCAAGAACCACATTTGCTCCTTCTTATACCTGTCACTGATAGGGTGTTTCTGTAATGCATTCTTCTGTACCTGTATTTTCTTCCTTCTGGACACAATGGATTTTAAATGGTTCAGCATTCTTTGAGGTTTTAACTTTTAAATATTCCATAAACATTTTTGGGATGGGCTGAACTCCTGTTACCTTCTATTATACTTTCTCTATCCTTTTCTTCATTTTATTGGGGACCTGGGATGATGCAGAGAGAAAGTGGGTAGGAAAGGGCTTCCACTGTCACATTTATTTTACCATCTTGACAGAGAAAGGTAGGATATTTTGATTACTTGGAATTAATTCTGTTCTTTTGCATATTTTATTCTGTTTTTAAACTTTTAGGCAGAAACTGAAAGGAAAGATGGTATTTTCAGAGATTGTGCTCTGGTTCTGTTTTGCTTTTGTATATAATAGTAACAGACAATATATAGTGAGTGCTTATATATGTCAGGCACTGTTCTAAGCATTATGCCCATGTTAATGTAACTTTACAACAACCTTGTAAGTAGGTACTGTTTTTATCTCAATTTATAGCTGGGATGCCTACCCAAGAAGTTTGGTCCTTGGATGGGCATGGGGGTTCATATCTGTAATTCCAGCAATTTGGACAGCTGAGGCGGGAGGATTGCTTGAGATCAGGAGTTTGAGCTTGGGCAATGTAGCAAGACCTCATCTCTGATAAAAAAATATATATATATAGCTGGGCATGGTGGTGCATGTCTGTAATCTCAGCTACTCAGGAGGTTGAGGAAGGACCATCTCTTGAGCGCAGGAGATGCTGGTTGCAGTGAGCTATGATTGCACCACTGCACGCCAGCCTGGATGACAGAGTAAGATTTTTCCTTGAGAAAAAAGAAAAATAAAAAGAAATTATGTTCCTAAATCCATGTATTTATCACTATAATGCACTGCCTTCTTTCATACTATGTGAAGAAGCTCAGACAAGACCTTTCATGCTTAAAAATAAATGAACACATAAAACTTTATTGACTACATTCTATTTGAACACTAAGTTAAAATTAATAAAAGAAAAACCCCTCTACCACCCTTTCAGTTAGAGACTA